GCAGGAGACTAAATGCAGGAGAGAGCAGTTCAAAGTAGGTCATTTATGTATTAATGTACTACGATATGTCAGTAAGCTTGTTATTAGTCATAAAATACATTGACGACTCATGCATTCCTACAGCTATGTGTCTAAGAGCACAATAATTTAGATATGCCATTTTTTTTAACCCCCCTTCCCCAGGTGTATCTTCAGACAGGTTTCACTTGTGATTCCCTGTTATGTTTTGCAAAGTGTTTGATGCCAGCCAGAGAAAGGCTTTGGGTTTCTTAAAGGAAGGTGCTATTGTACTAGTGCAAGACATTTCTTTTTTGTGATTGTGGTTATAACCTGAATATTATTTGCTACTGATTCATGTAGGTGGGAAAATCTTTAATATCTGCCTCAGTTTTCTGTCTGGATTCAACAATGATATGCTGTGAGGTTTCCTCAGGACATCCATTGGAGTTTATATGCTCATTTTCATTTTTTGCCTGGCTATTTCCTCCCCCTGTCCCCCAAACACACACACAAATGATGCAGAGCACATAAAGATAAATGAACTAAAAGATAGTCTAATTCAGTGGCAAACTTCCAAAACATGACAGGACTTGTTCAAGCCAAAGTGAATGTTAGCAGGTGTTTCCTACGATGATTAAAACGAGCTTAGCTATTCATTTAACACTAGTGTCAAAAGCAGTTACCAATTTTAACTCTATGGGAAATCTAACTTTCTAATGTTTTCACCTCAATGGGATGAATACGATATTTTCCATGGAATAGAAGTTAGGGTATTTTGCTCAAAGCAACACTTCAACAATCAAAGTAGTCAACTGTCCTGGATAGACATAACCTTTTTTCTTTTCATTTGAAATTAGATTAACATGAAATTGCATCTTCCCAATGAAGACATCAGTTCTGCAGAAAATTTTGTTTTTAAAAAATTGTTAATGGGAATTTTTCCAACATACTGTCTTCAAGCGATAGAGATAGAGCCATTGCACACCTCAAGACTGATGTCTAGCTGATACAATTATCTGTCTGAAGACAATTACAGAAGATTACTATTATGTATAGGTCACTGCATGAGCTTTAGGTGGCTCTTTTAGTAAACATTTCATAGTAACTAAAGCCAGGCTTAATCAGCACAGTTAATGGAAAGGACTGGACTCTCTTCTTGAGCTGATAGAGTTTTACTGCTGAGTCTCTGTTTTGGAATTAAAGGCACTGTTGATTTTTAATGAGAAACAGATGGAGGTTCATTGCAATTTAGAAGTCTACAGGCATTCTTATAGAGGTGAGATATAGGATGTGTCCCTGATGGCATGATGGAAACATGGTGGAAATTTGATGGGGTTAAGGTTTTGCAGGCCCGTTAACACAAACTGCCAGTAATTATTTACTACATATAGAAAAATCTCTTACAGAAATTTCTTTGTTGTAAATAAACATCTCTTTATGGATTTAAACAAGAATGAAAAGTTAAAAAAAAAGAAAAATTCAGTCTCACGGGGGCAGAAAACATCCGGGACAGTTTCTAGGCTGCTTGATTGTAGCTCCGGACTTTGCAGCTTATATAGGGCATGCAGAAGATTATGGAAGGCGTATGACTACTTTATGGTGTTCTGATGATACAAAGGACTTGTAAACCTTCTTCACCTTGCTCTTGTATGCCAGCAAATCTTCCCCCTTAGAAACTAAGATCTATAAGAATTGGTTTGTGTGCATTCGAACAGTTCAAGAAAGATCTGCGTATTTCAAGGAAATGTACCTTTTAAGCATCAAAATGATCTCCATCTAGAAGAGGGAGGAAATGGTGGCAAAAAGCATTATTTTGAAATAAGTCCTCTGGAACCCAAACACGGAAGTGCCTGAACACTAACAACTGTGCTGTCACTAGAAAAATGACTGCATGGTCATGGGCTCAGCTTTGGAGGAGCTGATTTTGTTCCTTCTTTTGCCTTCCTCAGATTACTCTTCAAGCCCTATCATTCTACCAGATCCCGAAGGAAGCGCTACCAGCTCTTAAAGTGTTTGTTTGTTTGTTTTAACCAAATTCTTGCAGGAATGTAAAAACGTCAGTGTTACCTTGTTGTGAATGATCCCTTGTTTCTAGGATGGAATTTCTAGCTGTTTTGAAACTTTCCATTTTCAGCCCATATCCCAGGACATTTACAAATTAAGCAGGAAACAGGCTCAAGATTTTATGCAAACATAAAGTTTCCAAGAGCTCCAATTTCTGAATAGTTCAGAGCCAATACTTTCTTGCAGCACACGATTTGGTGCTTTAATCTGTATAGAGCTGGATAAGCTACAGAAGATTGTCCTTTTCTAAAAGCACTATTCTGTGTCAATTTGTGTCCTCAGTGATTTGAAAAATGTCAAATAAAAGACACTATATTGCTGAAATGACCTAATTGTACAATGGAAACCCTTTTAGACATCAGAAAGTATTGCAGGAAGGGATTGCTGTTTTCCTCGCAGGTGAACCTGCGATACGGTGTCACCATAGCTGTAGCAGGAGTGAGGATGGGCAGAAAGGCGAAAGCACATGTGTTTCTGGAAGGGTAGAGTTAATGTGCAAGAGAAAGATAAACAATTATTTTTGTGGAATTGTGGAATAAGTAAGATATGAGATGCAAGACACTGGGTTTCAGGCAGATGCACTTTCAAGCTGCATTGTATAGAAATGCATGAAATCTGATTTTGACTGAACAAAAGCTCCTGCAACCAGGGGCCAAACAAATCTGCTTTGTGTACAATGCATTTATGAAGTGAGTTGGCACCATTACAATAGCCTTCACAGATTTAAAACCCAATTTTAATTTGAGTATCAACATATTTAGGAGGCTGTTCTATTTTATATTTTTTGCTATTCATCTTTATTTATCTGATGGGCTTATGTTATGATCTTTGGGATACTTTTCAAAATGGTTATGTTGTGAATGACTAATATGTCCTGTTTGCGTTCTCATAATTTCCTCCTTCTGTAACATTTTCTGTGGAGATGTAACAGTTTTCCAGTTAGGAGCCCTAAGGTTGCACCACATATTTCTAAAAATTGGAATTTTTACCCTATAAGTACGTCTTGTATCTCCAGTATTGCTTATATTAGGAGCAAAAGAAGCATGAAACCTGCTGTTTTGAAATGGAGTCTGACTGAAATGTCAAAAGAAAAATATCTAGTTACAAGACAGTGGGAGAAACATCTGAGATAAAATTTGCTAATTTTATCCTTGAACACTCTTCACAATGGAATAGAGTGTCTATTGTGAATAGATCAGCTTTTAGGCACAACAGCATACGTGCCTGACTAATGAAGTATTTCTGTTTCCTGTTATAAGTATCTGCTGTGTATTGAAAGGAGATAACCATCATCTCAGTATCTTGGAGTACAGTGGGCTGTACTCAGTATTCAAACAATATAGAATTCCACCTGAAGAAATTTCCTGCAGAAAAAACAGAGATCTGAGATTTGCTTGCTTTATCAATTTGCTATTGATTCATGCTCCTCAGAAGAAAATGCTTGCTTAACATCCCTGTGGTCTCCGTTTTAGCACACTCACAAAATTCTTATTTGCAACATTGAGATTCGATGGTGCCTAGGATCTAAGTTTTCTTGTTTAACCTTACCCTGTTTTATGTGGTCTTTAGGATGATATTAAGATGATAATAAATGAGGTAGCATGATGGTCCTACCACTCATGTAGTAGTTGTGTTATGGAGAATTTTCTGTGCAAATGTTGTGCCTTCTGCCAGCGTTCCTCTTTATCTCCTCTGGTTTTAGAATCCAGTATTTTATTTTTATGCTTTTTGAATAAATGGTCTATTTAAAGCAAAATAGGTTTTAGTGAATTTTTTTCTTGTGACCTGAATTTTAAAGGCAGGAATCTTCAAGAACAGAGTCTTTATTATTAGCAAGTAATTATTCTAAACTGTTCAAAATACTTGTGTATCCTTCAATTATTCCATATTTTCATTAATAATGGAAAAAAACATGAACAGAAACCAATTACTTTTATGTTCAATATGTCTATTACAATGTCTATTAGCTTTTCTATTTTCCTTTCTGTGTAGGCTTATGATGAAGAAATGTATGGCAGCAAATATCAGTGGATTATTCCGGGATGGTATGAAAACCTTTGGTGGGAATCCTGGATTAATTCCTCACAATGCCTCAGCAAAAATCTTCTTGCAGCCATGGAAGGTTATATCGGGGTGGATTTTGAGCCTCTCAGCTCAAAAATCATAAAGACCATATCAGGAAGGGTTAGTATTTTTCCCCCAACTATTTTATTATATCATCAGTTGTCTCACCAATGTCTTGACGCAGCAAAGCACCAAGGAGGGAGGTGAAGCTAACGGGTTCTTCTACAAGGAGAGCTAGCCGTCATCATGGTTAGTCTCAGCTTTCCACTGGTTTGCAATTTTTAAATATTTAGAAATCAATTCCAATGCTCTACAAGGTAAAGTCGCAGTGAAGTCCCTTGCCTCAAATCCGTCCTGTTCCTCCTTTAAGAACGTTACAGTGAGATATACTTTAAAGCTTGAATTATTGTCTGCATCATGTCAAGTTAAATCGTTGAGCACAGAAACAGGAAATCTTTATGTTTAAACCTAATCCTGCAAACGGCTAACTGTTGATTTGTGCCTCTCAGAACAAGGGTGGGCCTTGTTTTAAATATGTAAATATGTGATATTTCCATAAAGTGCATAACATCTTATCACAGAACAAATTCATGCAAACTCTGGCCAATGAATAAACATGCCCGATTTTACTGCTTCTCATCTGTTTTTCATCTGTCTTTCATGCCTTACTGAACGAGCACGAAAGGCAACTTCAGAAAAAGGCAACTCATCATAAGATAGCACGCCTTAAAGAGCATAGTAAACTTGTAAAACATGGATAAATTGCCACTCAGATAGTTTCATATTAAGCAAACAGTTGCACAAGTAAAGGTTATTTGATTTGCATTATCTTATAAACTGTAATCAGACCACTAATTTGCAGGGATATAGACTTATTCTCTGTTCTAGTTTTATAGCTCACCAGTGTGTTGATAGCTAGTTGAAGACTGAAGCCTTTTGTACAAAAGCAAAATAAAGGAAGTTGCCCTTCATGCAGAGAAGCAGAACAACAGCTTTTCAGTCTGCCTAGGTCTCCCTCTTAGTCTCACCGTCAGTCTTGTAAGTCAGGTAGCACATGAAATTTTGGAATTTTAGTTTCTTTCTTAATTTTTGTTTCGGTGGCCTTTTCTGTATTAGTCATGCATGTCTTTAAATTGGAGGGTGCAGTTCAAGGTGTGGGTTTAGATGCAAATCTGTAAAATGTTAAGTAATGAAGTAAAATTAAAGTTTTTCTCCTCTGCAGACTCCACAGCAATATGAAAAGGAATACAATGCTAAGCGTGGGGATGGGCAATCCAGCAAATTTCATGGTTATGCCTATGATGGGATATGGGTGATTGCCAAGACCTTGCAGCGGGCAATGAAGTATCTGAATGCCACTAACAAGCACCAAAAAATTGAAGATTTCAACTATACAAATCACAAACTTGGCAAAATTTTTCTGGATGCTATGAATGAAACCAACTTCTTTGGAGTAACGGTAAGTCCTAAACAGATACTTTTAAGGTGGAGGAGGCTCATGATTTTATGTCAGTAGCTGAAGCAAGCATTAATTTTAAATACTCTCAAAAAAGAAACACAGTTGTGTATTTCTTATATCTTCAGAGCTTCCACAGTTCTATTGCATCTTAAAAATTAATGATGTTGCCTTGAGACTCTTGTTCATTACCTGTCTTCCAGTGCCAAGTGATGACACTGTACAGTTCCTCAGTTACCAGATTTTTAAGCATGAAAATCATTTGAATTAACAACTCAGAGTAGTCTCAAGGGAACCACAAGTGTTGCAAGCTGCAGTGACCTTTTAAGTGGCTGTTTTAGCAGTTGAGGAGTAACTGAAATGCGTTCTGAAAATACCTCCTATTTTCCTCCGTCATTTATTTTTGGTAAAATATTATAGTACACTACTGTATCCAACTCCTGTGCTGTATACACTAAATATTCTCACAACATACTTCAGTTGTCATTTAAGTTTATTTATCATTTGAATTTTTTCACAGTCAAGTACAAAGCACGTTGACTATGACTTCAGAAGAACTGGTCACATATAATAATAACCTCATTCTATTTTCAATTGCACCGTTGCAAATTCATAGTAATTTTTTTTTAATTGATATTGTGTGTAGTTTTTAGCAGAGTAAAATGGGTAATAAAAGTGCGGCCCTAAAAGTTCTTAATTTCTTAACTGTATTTGAGGCAAATTAGTCAGAAGTTAATGACCCATGTGCGTTCAGGAGTGCACAGAGCCATACTCCTTCACCAAGAGAGATGAGCAGACTTCATTTTGGGGATAATGGTCTTCACAGTTTCCAATAGTACTGAACAAGGAACCTATTGGAACATACTTTTTGAGCAGTATAGTTGGGCTGCGACATGGCTAGATAAGGAAATCAGAGTTTCAAAGAAATGTGTATTTCAGTGGTGCACTGAGGGAGTGCTTTTAGATACCTCTTTGCAGCAAGAATACGCAGAAGGTTGGCAATATTTCTGCCACTGTGCAGTAGCTTGTCAGACTCTTCTCAAGTTTAGATTGTCTTGGATATCAGTTAACCTCAAAACATGTTGAAGTGGCGGAACTAAGCTTGTCATACATGTCACAAATTGTTTCAAGGAGGAAATGCCTACGTGTAGACATCAACGAGTGCAGGCTCAACTTTTTGGTGTCCTTGTTAATTGCTGAAGAAGCCTTTGTTTTCTATCACAGTACAATTGGAACTAGTTTAGGATTTGCAAGTAAAAAACAATCATATGGCAAGACAATGGTAGAATCTAGTTGCCTGTACAGTGTGAATTTTTCTCTCTTTTTACAATGAATTTGACTGAAGATTTCAGTAGAAGAATTATGCAGTTATGGGGTATCCCACTGAATCCATAGCAGGACTGAATCTTTGGTAAAATTTTCAGTCAGTAGCAGCTATAAACCAGACTCTTCAGGGACTCAGACATCTCTGTCCTGAGTTACTCCAAGTACAATATCACTCAATGTGGTTGAAATTGTGTGTTGCTATGTAGGTCCTTTTTTTTGTTTTTCCTTCTTTCCCTGTCTTACCCTTTTTGCCTGCTGTTGAGTCCTGACAGCCGATTATGGTAAAATTGATAGATTTCATCAGCACTGCTTAATTGCCCTTCACTGCTCCCTCCCCCCTGCAAAAACTCCCAAAACCTCTAAAATGAAGACGGCTTTTTTTTCTTTTTTTTTTTTATTAGTTTCAGAGACACCAGCAAAACCTCACATATGAACTGCATCCCTTTAGGGAGGGAATGAATCAAAGTTTCACCACCCATATTCAGCTGTGTTTACTTACTTTATTCCCTCAGGTATAATGTTTTTTAAAGAAATTACTGTACGGTTATTCACTGCATTTAGTGCTTGTCTGAGGCTCTTTGTAAATCATTTCTCTTTAAATTGGTCTACCAAGTCATCGTGATGCCCAAGTCATCATGCACAGCCCAAATCTGGAATTTGCAATGATCATGCTTCTTGTTTCTATAATACGTTCATGGAAACGTTTTAATCAGAAGGATATGGAGAGAAGAAAATCTGTATCAGCTACATTTTCTGAGGATATAATCAGAACAAACAATACTCAAATTTTTCCAGACAGTGTGAAGAAGAAGATTTTTATAATAGATGTTAAAAGTTTTGCATTGAAGTGTTTTCATAAAGTTGAAGGAACAGATTGATTCTTACCACAAATATTTTTAAGCTTTTTATTCTTCAGTCTAATAAGTTGCTATCATTTGTGACCTAATTTAAAACTTTCACTGGAACATAAGTTTTAGGTCTTGGAGTGCCAAATCTCATTTTAATTTTTTTTTTTCCCCAGAAGAAGTATTTAAATATAAACTTTTTACAATTAATTTTTAAAAGCTTATTCTAAACAGGAAAAGGACATTTGTTTATTCTAGAGTATCCAGGCCAAATATAAAATGAGTTGCTGAAAAAAAAGAAGAAATAAAAGGAAGGACTAAATCTGATAAATCTTAAAAAACTCATCCAATGATATAGTAAAATATGTTGTTAAATATTAAGTAGGAGAAGGAGGTAGACAAGAAGCTGTAGCCAAGAATCTAAAAATGCAAAATCTATTAAGAAGAGGCGTCTTTATGCTTTCTGTGAATATGATATCAGAAACACTGTCATGTCATAAATAATAAATCCCTTTAACTGCTTTCAATTTCTTTGAAACTATTTATGGTAAACCCAAAAAATATAATCACTGTTGAGTGGTGAGTTTTGTGCAATATTTTAAACAATTTTTAAAAGATTTGCTGAGAGTGAAGTGTGCTACTTCCTGATTACACAGAATGTCATTCTTTCAGTTTTCTGTTCTTTTTTCTGATTTTTTTTTCCCAGGAGATAACATTTAGAAAATAGTTTAGGTTATTTCCCAAAGACTTGACAGGACTAATCCTCTTTTTATGCATCAGAAACTCAGTACATAGTTGTTACTTATTCTAATTCTACTGTCAGAAATCTATTGGAAAGAAAATTACAGTTAGTCCTTAACATTCCTGAAGCTTCTGCTGTTTTTCTGGATTTTTTTTTTCTCTTAGCAAAATGATTCCTTCTGTTATTTTTCCTTCATCCTTATCTGACTTATAGTCATGTTGATTAGCATATAATTTTCTGATGTATTTTGAATATAGAGCAAAAAATAATATATGTTTTATCAGAAAACAGTGATATAGTTATCTGCTACACTTTTTCAGAGGCGAAATGGATACTGTTTTACAGATATGAAAGGACTTTGTGATGAGAAATGCAGTATGAACAAACCAAAGACCTGCAGGGATCTTCCTACAGTTTTGTTAATCTGAATGTTGTGATTCTGCAGTCAGATCCCATCATGTTGGCCGTTTTCAAATTGAGAAAGGCATCGTGTGGTTAGAAAGGTCCATCTGCAATGACTAGCTTTCAGGATAGGAGTCCTTTTGATTTGGGACTAGCTTGGCTTTCATGGTTTACATTTTTCTAATTTCTTACTTATCAGAGCACTTCTTTTTTAATAGGAAAGTTATTGAAAGAAAAGAATCTGTTCAAGGATTTTGGACAATTTTTTCCACTTTTCTTAATCCAGATAAAGCCAGTTTTGTAAACTGAATGTAACCCTGACATCCTAATGGTTTATAAACTGCCAGATCCCTGTTTTCTTGCCAAATATATTCCTCTTCTCAAATAGTACACATTCTTTCTGATAACCTAAGTGTCAGAAAAGGAAACATAAGAAAAGAAGTACTTGCATAATTTAATTTGATAAACTTTAGATGTCTGAGGAGTCCCTTATGTAGTTGGTAGTGCCACTGGAGGTAATTTAGAATTGGAGAATCTATTCAGGTCTCTGTTGGAGTGTTACTGCTTTGAATCAGTACAGAGTGACAAAGTGATGGAAAAAAAATAGGTACCTGGGATATTTATACATCTACATTTCAATTATACAGCTGTTTAGAGTATACGACCTATAACATGCCCATCATATATGTCTGAAAACCGAAGAGAATTTTCCACAGAGGTAGAACAATTCTCCTAAAGCAGGTCTGTTTGCCTAAAGGATAAAAAGAAGAAAAATTCTAACTTTATTTTGTGTACTACTACCATAGTGTGACTTGATAGCTTGATAATTAGTGAAGAATTAGTACTGTCTTTCGGGAGGGCTTCTGAGGATACTGAATCATATTTAGTGCATACTGAATCAAAATCCATTTAGAAAATGGTAGTATTTTGTTTTAGTCATTTTTTCCTTGTTTTGTTGTGTTTTTTTTCTTTATAAAGGCTATGGATGGTTACATACTACCTTACAACTACAAAAATGTTTATATCTGTTAGCAAAAAGATGTTGGTTATGCTTGGGAAGATTTTAAATACCACATTTGTTCTCAGTATAGTAAAAGTTTGTATTGGTTCCATGGGGTCGCCAGGTGGTGGGAAAAATACAGTGCATGCTGGAGTTAATTTTTAATTTATTTTTTTATACAAAGTACGACATTATTCTTTAAAATGCTTGCCTCTGATTTTCTAATCATTTCACCTTTGTCACTGATGTAATGTCATGAATGTTTCCATTCTCCCTGGCTTATGCCTGAAGTCCTGTAACTGTTGCAGTAGGGTATTCTGCTGCTTGCATTTATTGCTATTATTTGTGATTATAAATCAGGCTTCAGAATTGTTAATTTGTTTCTCATCCTGTGGCCTTCTATTATTTGTGTGTAATGGAAAAAGAATTACAGTGGAGGAGAGAGAAAATTAAATACAGTGTTGTCTTTCCTTTTATGTCAGCCAGAGACTCTAGCACAGTAGGATAAAATTCCATCACAATTGTGCTGCTGCACAATCAAACCACAGCCATGAAATAGCTTTCAAGTCTGTCCCTGGCATCCTGCTTTTGAATGGATCCAGACATGTTTCATAACTGGAAAAATGCTTATTGATATGAAGTTCATTTTGTATTTTGATGCTGATTATTTCTGAAGATTGATTTTAGC